TCTCCAAAAAAAATGTCACAAGCTTGAAACTATTTTGAATTCAAAAAATCATCAATTTACAGTGTTGATATATGGATGTCGCTTGGGATTCTGATATAGCCGAATCTTGATTACCTCCACTTGTTGTCGTTTCCGTGGTTTAATAGTAGGTTCGTTAAACAAACCAATTTGCTTTGTCAAACGTTTTTGAGTTTTAATTGATCAAGCCTGCAGTTTTGCTTTTTCACGCAAAATTGTTCTGGCTAGTATTTCGTTCTTCTTATTTTGTGCTATTTGCAAATTTGTAAGTTCTATCAAATCTTCTTCAGAAGTAACTTTTCATGAGGTGTATATTATTTTTGAAACATTTAGCTTTGGCTTTGATACGGAGGATTTGGCATGTAAAGCATTTAAAAATGTCTTTGAATGCTCACAAGCAGTTGAGCAGCATGTTAAAGGAGGTATTTTTTTTAATGATTTCGAAGAAGTTTGTCTGTTTAGAGTTTTATGCTTTTGTATAGTTGAACGAGTTTCTGGAAATGCGGTAACTGGTATAGGCAATGTTGGTAAGTCTTGATTACTTTGCGCAAAAATTAATCCAACAGCTAATTTTTCGTTAGTTATTTTTTACTGAAACAAAGGAAAAATACCTGTTGCTTTTAAACCGGAACGTATATTGTCTCTGAAGAAGCTTTGGTCAATAAGTTGTTTGAGAAACCCAGGGTAGCTAGGTTTTGTAAAATCTTTGAAACAGTTTTCGCGACATTTATTTTTCACCGTCCTAAATATGCCTACATCAAGTGGCTGTAGCACGTGAGATGTATGAGATAAGCAGGTAGCTTAAAAATAATAATACTCACGTTTTTTATTAAGTAAATTAGTTCCAACATTACATGTGAGGGATGGTCATCTAGAAAAAGGACTTTAGATCCCTTAAGTTTCAAACAATCTTACAAAAACAGATTTTTCCATCCAGCCAGATTGCGTGACACCATAGGTAGCACCGTTCCCAGCTAACACAAAACGTTCATGAATGTTCTATGAAAGTTCGCAACATTCGTTGAACGCACTTGAACGTTTTGTGTTAGCTGGATTTGCCCCGTCCTAATGTAGAAGTAATTTGGATATCAATCTAAAAATTCATATAATTAATTAGTAGTTTTTGAAATGCAGAGTTTTCCGGATTCTACGCACATCTATTTTAAATGCTTTTTAAAATAAATTAATCATAAATACTTTTGGCCTTATAATAAAACATGAACAGGCAAGAATGCCCAAAAAGCATCACAGCAAAAGAGTATTGTGAATGAAGCCATTTCTTGCTACTGCCAAGTTTCTTAGGCTCTTTTGAACCGTTTTGATACATTACTTTAAATTTGCCTTGAGTACATTGATGGCCAGATTCATCAAAATTAAAATTGTGGAAAGGCATAGTTGCGAATCCATGTATATTGTACATATCAGAAACTTGTGTAAACCTTGATTAAATAATTTGAAAAAATTACAAACTAGGTTTTAAAATGCTATAAATTAAGCAGTTTATAAAAAAAGGGATAAATGTAAATATTACAACCAAATCGAATTTTACCTTTTAAAAGTTATTAAAAAACAATTTATTATAAATAATATTTATATATAAATATTTATTTTTTATAAATACCATCGACCAATAGTGCCCGGTTGGTTTGACTGCATATTATTTGAAGGCCCAATAAATGAGTAATACCAGGCAAGTTAATTGCGCTGCCATTACAACACATTTGATTTGAATTAACCATGTAGTTGTTAACAACACACAATACTTTATATCTAGTCAAACTAAAACCAATATTTTTCATAAATATTAAAATTTTAAATAAAATGTCCTCGATGTTGTCGCTCAACTTATTTAGTTTGCCATTTTTTTAAAAATACTTGCCGTTATTTCTGTCGATGAAAGTTGATCTTTTAAAGCCAAATGTTATAGCTGCTTTCCTTTTACTCATAATTTTATCTACAGCCTTCTTAACCACGAGCCATCCGAGCTTATTCACGTAAATCCATAGATGACATAGATATATTAACTTGAAAAAGAACTATTTTAATGCGTTTCAATATATATTATTGTTTTGTGATTAGTTCATATTCAGTGATTTAAATTTACCAGTAAATTTTTACATCAAAAATTACCTAAAAAATTGACCGATACATTTTATTTTGAAACAGGTTAACTTAAAAGTTATAAACAAATTCTTTATTCAAATAAAATACCATGGTGAGTATCCATTATAAAAGTTTCAAGCTTTACTGCTAAATTTATAAGTAAAGTTTCCTGTAAATTTACGCAAACGCATTATTCTTAAAGTCACACTTTAACATATCAAATTTTCATAACATTCCTCCTAATTGCATCTTTCCTTGTTTATCCATGACTAACCGAAGTTAAAATATTTCAAAATTTAACTAGCTTTAAAAGAAAAAGGTAGTTATTATTCAAAAATAAATATTTTTTTTGTAATAATAATTAATTTGGTGATTCTTAATAATACTAAGACTAAATTTGATCATTTATTTTAATATTTTGCTTATTTTAGATTTTATTAGTATGCCTTTTTCAAATTGTAGTTTTGCTAGAGAATTATTTCAGCTGGTTGCAAATAAACTTTATTTTTTTCATAGATTTATATTTAAGAAGTAATAACAAATATTATTTGAGAAAAAAAGCTAGTACAATTTGAGTTTAGCATGCTTTTTTTATATATTTTTATTAATGACCGATGTTTTATATATTGACCGAATGATTTTACGGTATTTAAATAAGGAGAAAAGCTCACCGTTTAAAAGTTCACCGTTTTGGTTTTTTGCTTTTATGGTTTTCTTGCTAGATAAATTCGTTTTGACATATGCTATTCTTAGCTAATGAAACAGACTTTTGGTAGGATAAAGCATTTTTTGGCTATAGGTAAAGGGATCTGAGAATGCATTGGGACGTCACAAGGTCAGGTTTTAAATAAACCAACATAAAACCCGATTTTTTCTTCTTTTTTATTTTTAGTCCTATTTCACAAAATGGTTTGATCATTTTGTTTTTGAGCCTGTTTTAACTCGGCTTGCACGGCGATCTGTTTTCTAATACTTAACAGTAATTAGTAGAAGTTGATTTCTGACTAAATAAAGAATAACTCTTTACAATTTTAGTTTTTAAAATGGTTTTCTGTTTTACATTTTTTTTACTAATAATGTTTGTAGTAGCTAAAAATATTTTAAGTTCAAACTATAGAGCATCAAAGTTGTGTATTACATCGTCGTCGATATTCTCGTATTTTTTCGGGATACTTTATACTGTTGTCATATTTAGACTGATTTTTCTAATGATCTTTCTAATGATTTCTTTTCTAGATATGGTTCAAAAACGCATTGTAAACGTAGTTGGACCCACTCTATCTGCCAAGCTTGAGCCTCTTTCCCATTGTCGAAAACTGTACCTTTTTTTCTTTTCTACATATACTATTATGGTCGCTGTGCAAGGGAGCTATCATCTCTAGTTCCATCAAATAAAACATCACTCTAGTTCTATCAACTAAATCTCACTTTCGCTTGACTCGTAATTCAGCAAAGGCTCATTCTTTTACTGTATATGTCCCTGCATGTTCTAAAAACTTTTATTCGTTTAGTTTTTTTCTCTGCACCTCAACCCTTTAACTCTCTCCCATCTTAATGTTTTCCTAAATCGTACCACTTTCGACTTTTCAAGTTTTCTGTCAACCGTTTTCTTGCTCTATAACTTATTCTTTTTTTCTTGTAACTCCCAACTTAATAGTGGTTGCTTGCAGCCTTGTTGGAAGTGAATCAGAATTAAAATAAAAATAATGATAAGCATTACAATGTTTTAAAAAAACTTTACAATCTATGCAATTTTTACTAATCAATGCCGTTGTGACTCCATTAAGAGGCAAATACTCGTGCTTTTACCACCTGCCATTAATTGTAATGCAATGGTAACCTTCCAGATCATTTTTAGGCTGCCTTATTCATACTTGTATATTCAAAAAAAAAAAAAAAAAAATACTGTGAAAGGAGCATGGGAACAAGAAACCCTAAAATTTTAGCCTCTCCCCCCTCGGCCCAAACGTATTATTTTCAACTAGACTTATATTCGTCGAGAAGTTTTAAATTTCATAGTAAAATATTTTAGTGTTCAAAAATTATGACCATACAAAGTTTAAAACCCCCTCAACTTGAAGGGATTGTTATCAAATTGTTGCTTTCACGTTTGGAGCAGATGGGGCAAAGATTTTGTGGTTTCTTGTTCCCATTATTATATCACAATTATTTTTTTTTTTGTAAAGAATCTTTTTGCCATACATATAAACTTTAAAAATTTGGAAGATTCTTATTGTTTATAAGTTGGTCATTTTAAACATTTAAAAACCTTCCTACGGCTCATAAAAAAACTTTTATAAGTATTTTATAATTGTAAGACGTATTTTGAATTATCATTGACTTATCGGGAACTTTTGATGCTCTACACCGGCTTTTGTCCTTTTTAAAAATGGTGAACTATATTTAAAAAAAAAAAAAAAAAAAAGCGGCTACATTTTTCGTCTAATAAAATCCTGCTAATTAGATAAATATATATCATTGCACAGTGGGCCAGCAGTGAGCAAAAATTAATAAAATGAGCAAAACCAACCTTTAACAATTCAAAAAATTTTCATCTTTTTTGAAAGTGAGTCACCTGAAAAAAATTTAAATGGTTGTAATATTATGTTTTAGTAAATAGAATTATTGTTAAATTGATTTTATTATGTTAATATTGTTAAATTGATTTTATATGTAGTTATTAATTTTGAATACTTTTTCATGTTTCTGGCCCAATGTGCATTGGTAAAATAAAAATAGCGGCAGTAAAAAAAAAAGTTTTTTTTTTTTACTAAAAAAAAAAAGTTTTTTTTTTTACTGCTGCTATCCACGGCGTTCAAAGAAAGCATCATGAAAAAACCGTCATATATTTTCGTACACCATGTATAAAACGGCACACGTTTAAAAGAACCGTAAGATAAAACGTTTAAATAAATATTAGATTCAAAAAAAGTTATAATAAAAAAAAAAAAAAAAAAAAGATGAGGAGACATGAAATTTTTTTGTTTTATTTATGGGTTTCTCAATATTTTGTTAAAGCTGTAACTAATGGGGCCGAGTCATACTCAACTCAAAGTTTTGAACTTGTTCACCATAGTTCTTACCCACATTTTGTTATGTTTTACGCACCTTGGTAAATGTAAACATTTGTTTTGATTTTTTATTTTATCTTATTTTCCTCGTTTTTATACATAGATATAATAACAGATTTTTTTTAATGTTGTAAATTAGAAACAACTGTTCTTTTTTTCACTTGATTTTGTTTAAATTTATTTGTATGGTTTAAGGTGTGGTCATTGCAAACGTATGCAGCCACTATGGGATAAATATGCTGATGACAAAGTCTATTCAAAAGGCATAAAAGTTGCTAAGGTTTATTTTATTTTTTGAAAATATAATCTCACTATAGTTCAAAATATGTTTTTAAAGGCAGCCAGTGGTAACCACATATGAATGTACTTTTTATTATTCTGGTTTGACAATATAAAGCTACAGTTAAGTGGCATAAAATAATTTTATTTTCAGCTTGTTACATTCTTGCCAGTGGATGCTTTTTAAACATGAGGAATATTTATTGGATTCAGTTCGTACATCAACTATCTTGTAGCCTGCTGCTACAAAGGAGTGTGCTGCTACATTGACAAAGATTGTGCTGCTACATTGTTTAAAAAGTGTCCATTGACAATAGAGCAACAAGTGAAAAAATAAAATTGTTTTAGGTCGCTTAACTGTATGATTACCAGTTCTTGTACTCCTAATAACCTAATTTTTTTTTTCATAAAAAAAGTTTTTTTAACACTTAGATTCAATTGGACTGCTGGATCTAAGTTGAACTTTTAAGGTCAATTTGTGCTTATCAAAAAGTGTTGAAACTAAATGACTGAAATTTATAAAACAAGGCATACAAACCAGATAATATTCAATAATGCATTTAAAATAACTTTTTTATAAAAAAGTTCAAAATATTTTATAGCAGTAAATTTATCGCAAGTAAATTTTTTATGATTAAGCAGCTTTTTCATAGTAAATCCAAGTTTTTTGAAATTTACTTCTAAAATTATTTTTACCTGAAGTGAGAATTCTTACAGCTTCACCCAAATCCAAGAGTCATTTTAGGACTTTTTTACTTCTGCTTTTTAACTTAAAAGCATTTAAACTACAGGTAAATATTTTAGAAATATTTTTTCTTTCTTTTAGGTAATTGCTCAACCGAAATATTTCTTACAAATTTTTTTTGGATATTGTTATTTCACTAACTACGCCACCTCAATTATAATTATAATATATAAAAAAATATATATATAATTATATATTATAATAAGCTATTATTTATTGTATTGGCTTGATTTAAAGTAGTGTACCAATAAATCTGCATTCTATTGTTTTAATTAAAAGTAATCTATTTAAACATTGTTATCTATATCACAAAATAAAATTGTTCTAAAAACAACTTATTTATCTAAAAATAATTTAGATATCTAAAAAACATGATTATTGTTTTTTAGATATCTAAATTATTTTTAGATAAATAAGTTGTTTTTAGAACAACTTATTTATCTAAAAAAAAAAAATAATTTGGATATCTAAATTAATAATAAATAAGGTTTCCCAAGAAATATAATAAACAGAAAATCTGAAATCCCAGGAATTTTTTTCTGGGATTCCAGAATTTTTTTTTAGTAATAATGGATTTTAAAACCAAATCGTTAACTTTGATGAGCTGGAAGTAGTTGAAAGTATAGCAAAAAGTCTTGAGCTTCTTGTTTTAGATTCTGAAATGATTTGTGGATGGGAAGCAACATTTTTTACAGCTGATGACTCATTAAAATTTATTGTTATAGAACTTGATACTCAAGATCGTTATTTAGCAAATAAACTTAAAAATAAACTTTAGTTGAAAGAATATGTCAAAGAAAAAAAATCTTGTTGATTAATTAAGGTTTTTGAACCCACAATCTTTAAAAATTAATGTTTAATAACTTGTTTTGCATACCATCTGAAACAGAGTTGATAAATATAGCTATTAATTTTAATTGAGAAATTTTTCCTTGTGTTTGAAGCTATACCAAAATTTCAAGATTTAATAGTAATGATAACCTTAACAATATATAAGATTAATGATAAGCTTAATAATAGAAATGTCAGTTTAAAAAAGTGATTGAATCTATGGCTGAAAGATTAGAAAAATTTGTGAAAAAAAAGACTTAAGTATTTAATTGTAAATTTAATTTTAAAGGTCACATAATTTAGATATGCTTTTTATAACGCACTTTTAACTATTCGACCATCCAGTGTTAAAGCTGAAAGAGTGTTTAATTCAACAGGTTTATTTTTTACAAAGTTTAGAACTAGATTATCAGATAGTCATCTGGATGCACTGTTTCTATTAAAAGGTCTTTAAATCACAAAAATATATTTTTAAGAATAAAGTAAAAAAAAAAAAGATTTATTTGTACTTTATATAAATCTATATTTCTGGAATCCTGGAAACACTATCAATAATTCTCGCTATACCGGGATAGCAAAACATTCGGGGATTGGCAATCCCTACTAATAAATTAATAAAGAGTTCTAAGTAAACTGATTATGGGTAATTCATGTCGAATGACCCAGGTTATGTCACCGTACATCTCAGATTTTGCTGATTTTTATACAGTTAAGATTACTTAGGGGCCATCCATAAAAAATTTTTTGGTTTATACTTGTTCTGTTTTATTTAATTATTTACAAAATAAAGTACAAAAATATAAAGTCTCAAGATTATGTTAAGACTTGCTTAGATGCGTCAACGGTCAACATATACATCAGGGTGTTAACCAGAAATAAATTAGATACAGCATTTTGACAAAAATGGAACATTGTGCAAATATTTCCAAAAAATCCCCCCCCCCTCCTGTGATTAAAATGTGTACCAGGAACACATGGGGTCTTTTTCTTATATTCTTTCTTCTTCTACCCCACTTCTGCGCTGCATACATTGATTGGATAGCACATAAATAAATAAAATACTGTCTCTAGCGTTTATTGAAGATGAATATGAAATCAACGTAAAATTAAATATTTTTTTATAACGACAAGGCAAATTAAGCTCTGATTTCCAAAGATATATTAAGAATTATATATTTTTATATTATAAAGTAATCATAATCTATGTATAATAAAAATTATTAAGAATAATATATTTGATTTATTTTTAATTCTAATATATTGTTGCCAGTTTCATTTTAAGAGTATTTTTTTGAATATAAATGTTTTAAAGTAATATAACAATTAATGTGCAATAAAATTCTTCGCGGAAGAGAACCGTTTATTTTCCACTTGCTTGACATCTATTTATTTAAATTATTTAACTTTTCAACCAAAAGAGGCGAAACTTTTAAAGAGATAGCATTTGCAGATGTTAAACCAATCGAATTTGTTATTTTTTTAGAATGTACTTTTTTTCTTACTGATTTTTTTAATTAATATTTTGCTGTTGTTGGAATACATTGCAAAAAAATATTTGCAAATTTGAGAAACTAATTTTACAGCAAGTTGCCTAGAAAATCCCTAAAATCACTTGGAAAAAAAGTTTTTCCCAAGAGACATTATTGCAGTTATGCAATCACATAATTATACCTATAATGACAATAGTTTTACACAATAAATTAGAATTTTTTATGTCACTTTTCTATTAGTTTTAAATAATAATTAATTTTCAATAATTTTTAGACTTATTATTAAACTATAATTTCGCAATTGGATTTTTTCATCTTTAAATTGTGAATTTTAATTTTATGAGCATTTAAGAATATTGTGTTTGATGGGATCCCACAGGGCTAGTTTGCATCCTGCACATACGTCCAGTTGTTGTTACAGGTGCGTCAATAGTATAAATTATGTTGGTAATTGGAACCAAACACTCATCTGCTCTAGATGGTCAGAAAAGTTTTTTAAAAGGACTGTGCGGGTGTATAAATATTACCATAAAAACTTGCTCATATCAATCCAATCAAATATATTATATTTACACAAACAAATTCTTCAAATTTCAATGCATTAATGTTCATTTTCAATGTGTTGATGTTATTTTGCTGTTTAGGTTAAATACTTTAAATATTAGTAAAAGAAAACATGTCTCTTATATTAAAATCTTCACTTGTTCATTTAAAACTAATAGTATCTATTAATTCTGACTAACTATTCTGAGTTAAATTAATGCTAATTGCAAGAAATGCTCTACTTAGCTAAAAACGTTTTTTCAAAGTGTTGCACAATTCTGTCAGTCTTTCTTTTTCAATTTTGAAAAAAGTAAACCCTTAAATATTTTTTGCACAGCAATCATGCATTTTATTACATTTAATATCTGGTCATTTATAGGGCTTTGTAAACTTGCATTTGCAGTTAATGGTTTTACAGTGCCACCAATATCATCACATGGTGACTTACCATGACTAGTAGAAAAAATGTCCGCTCTGCATCAATATCAATATATTGTAAAAGTTTTTGTGGTTTTTGTACTGGGCAGCACAACCATATATAAAGAATCTTTGAAATATTAGAATGATTTTCTTTTAAATAATTATTTGTGTCTGAATTTCATACACAAAACCAATGCCATGCTCATTATCTTCTAATATGAAGCAAAACGACTTTCCTTTAAGATGGTCAATTTTGTTTAAGAAATAGAAGGGCAATGTAGTTTAACATGCATTTTAGCATCAATGGTAAATTTAGGTTTCATCTTGAATCACAAACGTGTAGTTTTCTTCAAAATCAAGACGATAAGCAGTCTTTTGCCAAATTTTCCTTTTGTTGCTTTAGGTATCTTGCTTGATATTTTGCAATGTTGGGATGAACTGTTAACTTGTTTATTGCCTTTCATAAGATCAATTTATGTTATTCAATTGTTGTTGTCTGACAAATAAATGTTGTAATATCTGTTTTCCTTTTGATTCAAAAAAAGTTTTAAATTATACAATGTAATATTCTGTTAAAATCATTATTTTAGATGGATGACTGTTTTTAATCCTTGCAACTTGCAAATCAAAAATCTTATAAACATATGTATTTTCTTAAAACATTTTAAGAAAAATCATTGAATACAGAATGATCAAAAACCAAATGGAACAAATATAAAAGAAAATTTTTTTTTGAAGATAATTATTTCAAAATTATCTTTACTTTATCTATAATGCATTTAAAGTTTTTTTTTTAACAATGGTGGGTCATGATCTCAAGTGCCCCAGCCTTATTGACTCTCTGGTCATCTACCCTGGAAACAATTTTAACACACATTGATCAGGACAACAAAAATCCTGAAAGTTTCAGAGCTCCAGTTTGTCTGAAAAGTAGTGAAAAATCTATCACAAGGTTCTGCTTCTAAAAGGTGGACCCATGACTCAGCCCCCTCCCCTGGTGTCTTGGGTCATTAAAACAACTTTAACATGCATGTTCATTGGCACTACAGAAATGCCAAAATTTTCAGAGCTTCAGCTAATCTGGAAGTTAGTCACAAGTCAATTGCAAATTCCTGCTACAAAAAAGTGGGATTGTGTCCCATTATCCATATATGGAAATCCATATATTGCAGATCAAAATTTTTTTTTTTTTAGAAAGATCAATGAACATAGAATGATGTAAAATATATATTTTTTTGATATCATTGTGGCCACATGGTTTTCATGATCATCAAAATCTGATATATAAAAATTTGCCGAAATTTATTTAAATTGATAAGTATAGGTATTTAAAAATATTTTTTTACATTTCTGATCATTTCATTGGATTAGCTACCCCTGAAAATAGCCTGGTACAAATTTTCAAGTAAAAATATCAAATATTTTTAAAGTTGCATGACTTTAAACCTCTAAATAAATGTTGCAATTCTAAGGGGACTAAAGTTAGTAAACTGAGGTTGATATTTGACCAGAGCCTAGGCCAGGTTTGATAAAGTATAGCCGGGGCCAGGTTTGTGGCCGGGGCTGCATAAACAATTATACATTCTAAAGTATATTATTTTAATTCAAAATTATATTGTTTATATATATGCATATATAAACATCATTATGATCATCATAATCATCATTACCATCATGATCATCATCATTATCATAATCATCATCATCGTCATCATCATCAGGCTTTAGTTTTCCTCTTATGTTGTTTCTCTAATACAAACAATCTAGAGCATTTTCTTTCTTTAACTAAACCTCATTCATACAATACATAAGGCGCTCTCTTCAAGTTTTCTTACTTTTACCACTACCATTTCCTCCTGAAGCTTCTACCTCTCTACATGCTAATACCTAAATCACTTTATTCTTCTCTATCAAACGTTGTCCGGTAAGAGGCTTTTTTCTAATCTGTCTAAGACTATACCTCCTTTTCTTGTCGTGTCAGAGTCACACCACACATTCATCTGATCATCTTCTATTATAGCAAAGACAACACTATATAAATACTAAAGTTTATATAAATATGAAAGGATATTGTTTGCCAGCATCTAAATAAATAGCAAAAATGTGTTTATACCCATAATATATACAGGGATTATCTTTTGACACATTTTTATTTTTTCCGGATATCCAAATAGTTTTCTAAAAATACAAGTTAAAATTATTTTTTTTGTCGTCAAATAATTAAAATAGTAAAGGTAACATTCATCAATTATTTTATGCTATATTTTACTTAGGTAAGGCATTATTTTTACAAATAATTTTTTCTTTTTTGTACGCATATATTATTAATATCCCAATGTCAAGAAAAATTATAGTAATTGCTCAGCTTTACATAAATAAAAAATACATATAACAATAACAAAAGCATAATCATTAAAACATAACAATAGCAAAATTGCTAAAAATTTGCATTAAGCTGTGAGTATAATCAATTGCTTTTATTCACTTAGCCTGTTAAAAAAATTATGTTATTATTTAAATTATAAAATAAGTTTTGTGTTAATTAAAATTACCAAATCAATTTATTTATTGAGATATTGATAAAAAAAGCATTTGTTGTTTTGCCATATATTTATGTAAAAAAAAGTTGTTTTATTTAATAAATTAAAAAAAAAAAAACTTACCTTCAAGAAAAAAAAAATGCTCTTAAAATTAAAACTTATCTTCGAGAAAAAAAAATGCAGTTAAAAATTATTTATTAAAAGGTTTTTTGCTTATGTTTTGATAAATACTTTGTTTTGGAACGTTTAAATAAAATGAAATCTATTTTTTAAAGATTATTTAAGATATGTAGACACTATATAAGACACTCAGCACTTAGAGATCACTTTAATTATTTTAACTACTTCACCTAAAAATCTAGTTTAATTTAATTTATAAACTCTATTTAAGTAAGCATTAAAATACATTTTTATTTATATAGAAGAATACCTGCCAAAAATTTTCTTTTCAAGCACATGAGATATTCTTAAATACACAAAAAGCGTTTTTATTCCCAGATTTTTCCAGATATGACTTTAAAATATCCGGATTTTTTCTGGATATTATAATAAAATAATTTTTCTGATATAAAATGACAAGGATAATCTATGTATATACATATTATGGGTATAAATACATTTTTGCTATTTATTAAGATGCTGGCAAACAATATAGTTAATAAAGCGCATCTTGGAAGCTTTTATTCCTTCTGGAATAAAAGTTTGGAAGCTTCTATTGCTTCCCTTCAATATTAAGTCAAGTCTCATTCTACTCTGCATTTTTTACCATCTTGTGCAGTTGCTTTTTCAGTAATCATTTTTTCATCTTTTTTACAAAAACATTTCTTTTATAAACAAATATCTTTTTATTATTCCAAGAAGCCAATATATAAAAGTCCTGTCTGATGTCAAGTTTTGTTATTTTAAGTTTACTATTTTAAGTTCTGTTATTTTAAGTTTATCTTGTTTCTTATCTCAGATGTTAGGATTTAGAGACTTTTGGTAAGTCTTCAACAGTGTCATTAACTAAAGTAAGTCTAACATTTAATATTTAATTTATGGGTCTGACTTTTTACTTCTCCCCAGAATAAGGCAGAGTTTTATGCAAAAAAAATGTTACTCTAATATGACTCTTGAATCTATTTGTGCTTCAGACAAAATTTCCATTATAGCTTTAAAAAAGTGTTTTCTTCAATTTTTGCTAAACTTCTCTTCAATTTTTGCTAAACTTTTAAAAAGTGCTAAATAAGTGGTTCCAATTTTTCAAAACTCTAGAAAATACTTTAACCTCTCCAACTATCTTACAATTAGTCTTCACTCTGTTATTAGTTTCTTTATGTAAATTTTTTGAAATTAATAAATTATTTTTTTCTAACTGCAGAATTAAATTTATTCTTAAAGGCCTACACTTCACTTTATTTTAAGTAACTTTGAGGGTACCACAAAGTTATATCTTTGCTCTTGTAATGTTTCTTATCTAAAATAACAATCTTCGTGAAAGTTTTAAAGTACATCTATTAGCTGAGGACTCAACTTTATACTCTTTTCTTGACAAAAAAATCATCACTTTTTAATTTCTAAGAACAATTACGTGTTTTTAATCTGTTCTCTCTTCTGTAACAGCCTGCGGCTTGCAGTAGCTTGTGGATTTAAATTTTTTAAGACAACAAAACTCATTTATTTACTGCCAAATATTATTGCAAAATTGTTGATTGACAAATAACAACCATGATCATATTTCAGGATCTTCTTGGAGCCAGATGCTAAAATTTTCAAGGAGTTCTTATTTTAATAAGTACTCTCAATTGTATAAAAATCAGTAAAATCTGAGATATAGGGTGACATTTTAAAAATTTTCTGAGTCATTTGACATGAAATTACTCTTATGATAGTACCATTTTCTTTATAAAATTGAAATAAAAAGCGTTCCTCTAAAATTGTATTTATTTTTTTTGAAAGTTTTCTTTTTATATTAAAAAAAACTAGAACATTTTTTTTAATTGAGTTTTTTTAATATCTTTTAAAATAATGGTTTGGCTCTGATTTGGGTCCAAGTATTACGGTACATCACTAGTTTAAAGTCTGACAAATTACTCATTTGGCACAAGGCAGACTTTTCTATTGTAGTCCATTATAAACCAATTTAAAATATTAAAAAAAAGGAATTTTCTTGCAGTGCTAAAAAGAAATGAATATTAAGATAAGGCTGAAGGCTGAAAAGTATTAATTGATTTTTTGTTCTATTATGTTTTGATTTTATGCTTACAGGTTGATTGCACACTTAACACACCTCTTTGTGCATCAGAAGGTATAAAAGCGTATCCAACGTAAGTTTTCTTACTAAAAGATTCTTTCAAATCATAAAAATCTTTAAATTAGCTCTAACATCAAAAAAAAAGTTCTTGGTATTAATAAGAATTGTTTGTAGTCATGTTGGTAATGTAAGTTGTAATGTAGTCAAACCTAAGGGTTTCTTTTGTCAAATGTAATTATGCATAACACATTGTGTCATGGTCATGAATAGTGAAAGCCTGTTGACTTCTAATGTATATGCTGTGTTACAGAAGTGAATAATAGGGCTGTCCATTAATAATGCCAAAAAATAGGGGGAGGAGTTTTAATGTTTTTGATAATTGTTGACAAGGAAGAGGGAGAGGTCAAGAAAAATTTTACTCAACTTTAATTAATATCTAATAAATATACTTACTTAATTTTTTTTTTTACTTAGGGGAAGGGGGTAATAAATAATTAATTATTGAAATATTTTTATTGGGAGGGTCTCTAAAAGTTTGACATGATAATGTTAAGAGTAAAATTGCAAAATAATTGTTAACTAAATTAATGGACAGCCCTAATACAAATAAACAAAAACTTTTTTATTTATAACTATTAATAAAACTTTGTTTTATTAATTGTTATAAATTAAAAATACATGTAAACAAAATTTTAGGAAATAATAAAAATAACTGCACTGATTTTTGTTACAATATTTATTACTAGGAATAATTAAAGTAATAGTAATTAAATATAATAACATATTATATTTGTTTTATATATTATATTTGTTTATAGGTTACTTTTGTTTGTCAATCAAGAGCGATATACATTTAGAGGGAATCGCAATATTGGTGAATTTAAACAGTTTGTTGAAAAAAATGTAAGTTTTGGTTTATGTTTTGAAGTCATCTGTTTTTACAATATAAATACATTTATATTTACAATAGGTGTGAATAAATAGGTGCGGCAACTAATAATTTAACTTTAATTAGTAATTTTAGAAGTTAAACTACTGAAAAAAGTAATTTTTCAATAGAATTCTTATTTGTGGCTTATCTATAAATCCTAGAGTAGGCATTATTTGTGGCTTATCTATAAATCCTAGAGTAGGCATCTAACCACAAATCTGTGAAGGATCCAGCATTTTTTGGTGTTTGACATGGTGCAAACTTCAAACATTTGTATGTTTATAATTATGTCCAATAATGATGCTTTGCGACATTGCTATGATTGGAAAAAAAAGCCCTAAAATTTTATCCTCCTGCCCCAAACGTTAGTGCAATAAGTTAGTAAAATAATTTTTTTGCTTTTCTTAACTAGGTTTATATTCATTGATGAATTTCATAGTATTATCTCTCAGCGTTCATAAATTATGACCATATAAAAATTTAAACCCCCTCATTTTGAGGGGGTTACAAATTTTATATGGTCATAATTTTTGAATGCTTATAGATTGTTAATCAATACTTAAATTTATCAATGTATATAAATTTCGTTTAGAATAGGCTTTTTTGTTTCCAGCTTCCAATAATTTTTTCAAAAACATCATTATTTGACATTAGTATAAACATACACTCTTAATTAAAAAGTGTTAAATTACACTAAAAAGGTGTGCAGCATGAAAAACACCGAAACGGTGTTAAATTACACTGTTTTTGTGTATTTCATGCTGCACACCTTTTTAGTGTTAAATTACACCGTTTCAGTGTATTTCAGGCTAGATTTAAACAAAAAAACATCTAAAAATTTACATACACACATATTTAATTATAAAGTACATAAAAGTATGTTCCTGTTTATGTTCTACTCGTTAAAAAAGTTCTTTAAAAACATTTTTTTAATATAAATTGCCTACATTAACCAAAATGATTATGAACTAAGGATACTCTAGGTTAAATATCATCAACCTTTCTTGGGGAGCAACCACAACAACAACAACAGCAAGATATTTGTCTCTTCCATAGTAGTCTGCAAGCTGCATGTCAGTGATTTCTGGGTTTTGATTAATAACAGTTAAGCGAGAATTTAAATAATACACAATAGCCAATAAAAGGATGTCGTCTTCGTAATCCTAAAATAAACAAACAAAATAAAACATGATTTTTTAATCCTAATTATTGATATACGAAACTCCAGCTAAAAACTTTTAACAAAGCAGGAAAAAAATTATTATAATACTCTTCATGACATACTTGTGGTGTCTTCATATATATATATATATATATATATATATATATATATATATATATATATATATATATATATATATATATATATATATATATATATATATATATATATATATATATATATATATATATAATTATATTTAGATGAATAAAAACAACTGATTAGCGGGACTTAAAGTTTCATGCCCGAAGGCAATCATCAGCCGTTAATACAAACAAAAAACGTAAACAAACCGTTAGAAAAACGTAAAAATTACTGTAGAATGACATCTGACGTTATAAACAAATCTACGTAAAAAACAGATCAAAAAACAAAAAACCGTTATAGTTTATTAGTCCCCTGTGTCAAATAAAGATAATAGGAATTTTTTTGAATGTTGACACTGAATTACGATTTCGTTTTTTTTATTCAGTAGGTTTTTTCCATTATGCAATAAAATTACATATTTTTCGTAGAGACAAAGGTGGCATATTTTTGTTGCTAGATTGTAAGGTTTACAACGTTTGACAATTTTCCATTTTATAATGGGCTTTATGTTTTGGTCTTTTAAACTCCATATTTCCTTAGATAGTTCTGTGTTATTTCTATATTTAACTGATGCAAATGATTTGAGATGGTTTGCGTATCTTAGTTTAAATGGTGTATTACTAATGCCAAAATATACTTTTTTATTACGATCATGATGACTGGAACTTACGGTTGCTTGATAGACAATATTGTTAGATAAGCATTGATTGTTCAAAGAGCAAAATGCTTTATCTACGCAGTTACATTGGTTGGTTTTTAATTGATTTTTGTTGTGTAAAATTTTAAAATTATGCGAATTTATGATAGATTTTAGGTTAGGCATGCAACTGTAGCTAATCTTAATAGAATTTCGATTGAATATTTTATGTAGCTTGTGACCGGCTGGAAAATGTAAGTCAATAAGGGCTAGAAAACGGTTTCCTATTTTTGTTTTGACGTTTAAGCTGAACGGAGGGTTATACCAAATAATATTATGTTTACGTTGCTTTTTTTGTTGATTTTGACTTGAGATTATTTGTGGTTGGTAGGTAAGGTTCGATTTGTATCCCGATTTTTTTAAAGCCTCTTCATATGGTGGAATAGCCTTTTTGAAGAAATTTTCATTATTGACATGGAAGATAATCTTTGTTTGATATTATATATATATATATATATATATATATATATATATATATATATATATATATATATATATATATATATATATATATATATATATATATATATATAAAAGTTATACTTTTATGAGAAAAGTATAACTTTTCTCATAAAAGTATAATTATTACTTTAAATAAAAATGACACATCCTAAATGTGTTCTTTGTAATTAATATAGATTATATTTGAGGTTAAGTATTTTGATGTAATAATACGAAGTTTCTTGTACGTGTTACATATATATATATATATATATATATATATATATATATATATATATATATATATATATATATATATATATATATATATATATATATATATATATATATGTATATATATATATATATATATATATATATATATATATATATATATATATATATATATATATATATATATATATATATATATATATATATATATATATATATATAAGTTGAATGACTGATAAAAGGGTCATAACTATTTAATGGTTACATTTTTTAATTTCATAAAATAAACTCTTTCCAACTTAAAATTGAAAAGTTAATTTATTCTCATCTTTCTTATTTCTATAATTTTATTTTATACATTTATTAATGGACAAAAAATTAAGTTTTTCAAAGTCACATTTTTTTTCAATTTCTCATTTTGATCGGAAAATTTTAAATATTTTACCACTTACCACTAATATTGTATTTTAAAGCTCTGATTATAAAGCCCTAAATATGTCAAATAAAATATTATTCAGTAGCCGTATTCACGTCTTTCCGTTAAACCCTGCGTTAAGCTAACGGCTGGTTAAAATTTAACGGCAGTTTTTAACACCGGCGTTAAAAAAAATTCGTATTCTCGTGTCCTCCGTTTAGTTAAAATAAAGTTAACAGAAGATAGTTAACGGTAAAATCTAACTCTGCTATACCCTACAGTTAAAACCGAAAACAGAAAAATTTTCTAAAATATTAAAAATGGTATCCGAGCAAAATAATATGTTGAATTTTTCTCATCAATAACAGCTGAATAAACTGTTTATTATTTGTTTAAACAAGTTTAGTTTTAGGCTAAATAAGTTATATTATGTACTATATAATGTTTATATAATTAAATCTTTAATAATTAAATCGCTAATGTATTTTAATTAGACATTATACTTTAAAATACATGTTGACAACATGTATACAACATTGCTGTATTATCACGAGAAATACTGAAATCGCTACATTTTATTTATATTATTTTTAATGCACGTACTATAAAATGCAATATATATATATATATATATATATATATATATATATATATATATATATTATATATATATTGTATGTATGTATATACATATATATATATATATATATATATATATATATATATATATATATATATATATATATATATATATATATATACAGGCTTGGTCGGGAAGCGGGAGCGATCGCTTATATAATATTTAGTTGCGAAAAGCTGGCCAGATTTTTTAGTTGTTTTGAGAACATTTTAAAAAGCAAAAAAAAAAAAGCAATGAAGATTAATTGGACCAATGAGAGACAATTACAAAAAAAAAAAAAAAATAGGCAAATAAAATATCTTTAAGCGTGAAAAAACTTAAAGCTAAATAAATTACATTTAGAACAAATATTTTTGAAACATCGCTCTTTTATAATTTTTTATGAAATTAAGCGATGTTTTTTATATAAAGTAACAACTTACGATTGTTTAAAAGGGAAAAAAATATTCTTTATTTGTCTAAGTTTGCAAGTTTTAGTTTTACTTAAGCTTAAATAAATAAAAAAGTTAATTTTTTTAATACCTATTTTATGTTTCGCGTAGTTTGAAAAGTTTAACATATTTGAAGCGATTCTTTTTGGTAAGATAAACAAATGAAATAATTAAATCATTGAATTACTATAGGAATTGAATTACCAAGATAAAATCAACTAAAAAGGTTAAAAATACTTAATGACCAAGAAGCAAAACTGCTTCACAATATCGCTGATGATGTTTAGTGAGTGGGCTTTTTAATTTTAATTAGTATTTAAAGCAGAAAAAAGTATAACGAGTTTTAAGAATGGCAATTTAAGCGAAAATAATTAGAGTTAGTAAACCAATATCTAGAAGCTTTTCTTTATATCTAATTATTTGCTATATATATTTGTGTTCTGTCGTGACCTTAGGTGCAATGCTTGTTCATCCGCGAGTTACTTTGTATGCGTTGTTTGTATTTAGTAACCAGAAACTTCTTATGTTTGTTACATAATTAGTTTTATTAACTTTAACGATTATAACTTCATTGAAAACGCAGTTATTTTTGTAAGTCTTTGTTTAAATCATAAAAATTGCTTTAAAAGGTACATTACGATAAAAAACAATTACACAAATTTACATTTACATAAAGAATACAATCTCTTTTAAAATAAAAAATATGAATATACTAATAAAATCTATGATTTCTAATAAACTTTTATTTTTGTAACAATTGTAAACAATTAATATATATTTTTAAAACGATTTATGCTAGAAATCT